TCAAATTTATGAAAAAGTAAAACTATTTTGCTCACAAAAGTTCTTAAAAGAAAAAAAAATGATATATACAAAAGATTAAAATGAAAGAAACAAAAACAATATATAAAAAATTAAAATGGAATGTTTTTATCTAAAGGACAAATTTATGAAAGAATATTTAAATCAAAGTAGATTTCCCCCGTCGTGATAAAGCCTTTTTTTTCTTTCTTGGTTTGATTTCTACTTAAAAAAAAACCTTTCATTTTTAGTTTCTATCATATATCAAATGAATGAAGTGAACTATTTGTACCCAATTTTTATTTCCTTTATCCTATATATCCTACATTCTTTATTTACCTAAACAAACATAGGGTTTGCGAATTTAGATTGATGCAGCTTTTGGTTAGCCGTTCGTACGCTATGAAAAGTAGTAAAATAGTACTAACGTGTATCTCATTTCACTCCTTTCGATTTTCATTCAAACCTCAAAGTGAACATGGGCCTATACTATAGATTCTTTAAATAACCTTTAAGATACTCACAAGAAGGAACAAAAAAACAACAACACATTCTTTTATTAAGGTATTTTTTTTTATAGATATGCACTGAAATATACGAATTGGGTATGGGTATTAACTTTTTTATACCAACTTGTTTTTGGTCCATTATAAAAATAAAATAAAAATAGGTGATTACTTTTTAATGAAAAAGTAGATAGTTTAGGTGAGCATGACTGAAACATAAACACGTATTGGTACAGTCTCAATTATAATTCAACTAAACTGTTCACCCATTTCAGACTAGGAAATGAAAAGGTACAACAATTTTGCTAGAAAGAAAAAATACACTACTATAAAAAAAATCAAATAAACCGCTTTGGGATATTAATAAATATGTTTGATACAGCATTTGTTTTTCAAGGTACAATATTTTGTCTTACCTAGCTCATTGTATGTTCTAATTAATTTTCGTCTACCATGAGAGGATGATAGCATTAATCTCTAGTTATTGCATAATTTAAATTTTCAACAAACACTCTTCATTAAATTTGAAGAATGTTGAACCCATAATATTTTAAATTTGAAGAATGTCTAACATATATATAAATCCCACTATCTTATATAAATGAATTCCTCTATGATCATTGTTAATGATAGAGATGTTTATGGGGCATGATGAAATGAATTTACCTATATAAATATTATGTTACGTTAATTAAAACAATATTTATAAAGTCAAAAAATTATATTATTATAATACATAATTATTTTAAAATACATTTCTAAAAAATATATAATATTAGAACGGATTCAAACGGGCAAAAGTATAATTCGAATTTATATATATTCTTGAAATATATTAAATATAATTTCTTAAATTCGAAACCGTAAAAAATATATTTGGATCGAGCCAGATTAGTGAACGCGACAGATCATAAACATCCTTAGACAATGAATAGAAAGTGTTTTCTTAGAATGAAAAAGTTTGGTAAAGATTTATGTCACTAGTGCGTCTATATCGTAGAAATTAATGCGAATATTCCAAATGGAGGTTCAAACATTAGTATTCAAGGGTGGAAAGAAGGTGAAAACATTTATTTGAAAAGAGTGGACTTTAATGACAAACTAGCCACTCAGAATTAGTAAAATTTTACTATTTTCATGGAACTCAATTCACTGCACTTCTCAATTGTCATAGGGGCTGTTGGCCTAGGTGAACAGTTGGACCCACATATCATAAGTAATCCAAACTACGCATAAATAAAAGATATTCAAAATTAACCAATTGTTAAATAATACTATATTCCATTTCTTTAAGTAAAATTTTGTACTCAAATTTTATGAATAAAAAAAATATATAATTAAAAAACTCTATTAAAAATGACCAGTGAAATTCAATATAAGAATTAATTACCAACGAAATCTATAAATAATAAAGTAATTGAAAAAAAATTAGACTCTAGTAATAGTCCTGGTGCACAACTTTGGAATTTGGATGAAATACGTAGAGCTCCCTAATTTCCGCAAGCAAATGGTCAATTAATGACCGCAATAGGATAAATATGAGGAAACATGTTTCACTTGATTTTTTTTATCATTTTTGTTTTTTGTTTTTCTAAGTGTAAAATACGATAATATTTTAAAAATAATTAAATTATGTTTGCCCTCTTTATTTTAAATTATACACTCTTTACTCTATAATGAGATATAAATTCATTTTAATATAAATGAGCTTTTTAGATATATTTTCTCCTATTGAGATTTTCAATATAATTCACAGTTAATTTTAAACATTTAATATCAGTTTTGTTAAATTACATGTATGTTGAAAATCATATCACTACTACTTTTACCTACGCAATAAATATAATATATGTTGGTATATTGTTAAAAAGTGTGGGTATAAACTATAATGACACATAAAATATGTTATTAAATCTAATTTAAATTCAACACTAAAATAATGTGTGACTATATAACAAATAGATATATACTTATATATATTATATTTATATATTATAATAATGACACTCTTTGTATATTGTAGTGTATTCAAATGAAATAAGACTATTATTGATGTTCAAACAAGTTCCCTTTTTTTTTTTAATAACATTTCCTTCATTCTTATTTCTTTTAACTACATGTGGCCTATAGTTTTAACCTTTCCTATATACTAGTATGTAGAGTAGTTCAAGAATGTAAGGATGCTCAAGTCATAGCTTAGCTGAACTTCACGTTAATCAAATCCAACATTTTGGTCGGTCCATTTGTTTGGAATACTCAGACTTTATCTGGTCATGATCTAACTAATGATCAAGTTAAAATTGGACAAAACTAAGTATTTAAGACAAAATTCACGAGTTTAAACAGGAGTACGTTAATTTGAATAAGCTTCTTTATATACTTTTAAGGAAAAAAAATGAAATATTTTTCATAAACTAAAATTAACATATACAAGTTATAAAATATATTTTAAAGAAACTAATAAAAGAAAACATTTACAAATTAGTTTGTGTATTATGAGTTAATTTTAGCTTTTAGAAAAATTTATTTAATTTTCTTTCTTATTTTTTAATTCTTAATATACTTTTAAAAAAGTTTATCTACGCATATTCAAAGTCTTTAAAATTTTTAGAGAACACTAAAATTAAGAAACGCTTTTTATTTTCTAGACTTTGGATATTTGAGAATCATATTTGATCTTGAGTCAACTCATGATAAACCCACACTAAGAATGACTCCTTTTTCATTCACTAATTATGAAATGTTAGTAAATTTGCAGAATACGTTCCAAAAAGAAAAGTTTTCGGATAGTGATCGATATTTTACAATTTATTTCTATTGTGTCTAATTAATTTGACGGCAACAAAATATATGTTTCTCTTTTCTTTTGAGAAAAAAAACTGTTGTATGATAATCAAACGAATCTTATTAAGCTACTCATAAATTATAACACAGAAAATACCCATTTTCTTTTGGTATATAAAATACATTTGGGGGCAAGACTTAATCACAGCATCACCCTGTATTGGCCAAAGTTTTCATCTACCGGGCTCAAAAATGTACTCCTTCACTTGGCCCAACACAAAGGCAGGCTGACACAGTGACACTACATTATGTCCAAATTCAAATTGGACCAAATACTCCTTGCAAGTAGGGGTGTGCAAAAAATCCAAATTGATCCGAAGCGCTCCATAACCGATCCGATCCATATTGAAAAATCTGATCTATTTTAAAAAAAAATCCGAACCGAACCATTTTATAAAACCGGTTTAGTTATCCGATCCATTTTTACAAAGTGGATCGGTTCGGTTCAGTTAGGGTTTCTAAAAAAACCGATCCAAACCGAACTGAACTGTTTTATAAAAATGGATCGGTTAACCGATCCATTTTTATAAAACAGTTCAGTTCGGTTTGGATCGGTTTTTTTTGAAAAAACCGATCCATGAACACCCCTACTTGCAAGCTCTTAATGAGTAGTTAAATATTGAATCATAATATATATATATATATATATATATATATATAATAAAATTATCAGCTATGAAAAATTGTATAATTAGTTTGGCACAAAAATATATTTTTCTTATATATCCAATATCAAATTCACTATATAATTAACCACTAAGATTATTTGTCTAATGATTGAGAGGAATGAATTAGAATAGTTAGAAGCATAAAGGCTAAGTTTGATCTACATTGCATTACAAGAAATGTTACATACAGTGACATATAAAAAAGTGTCACTACAGATACAATATATGTAGATATATCTATTTGACACATAATTACATATAATTTTAGTATTAATTTTAAATGAAATTTAATAACATATTGTATGTGTAATATGTCACTATAACATATACATACACTTTATAGCAATATATCAATATATATATTATATCTATTATGTAGATAAAAGTAATTTTTAATGACAAATATTATGTCACTATAAAGTACATGTCATTATATGATAATAATTTTTTTATATTAATAATTATTTTTATAATCTTTTCTATCTTTAAAAAAATTGTTATATAATTCATAGAATTACTCAAATAATAAGTTCACCTAAGATGGTAATATTAAAATTCAATACAAGTATGAAACCCAAAGGTAATCACACAAATGGTTGCTACCCTGTACATGTAACGTTGTTACCATAAAAAAGGAAAAAATATATACTTTCATTTTCCTCCCTCATTAATGTTCTACATGTGAAACCTGCAAATTTTGTACATTATAATTCATTTTTTAATTTAAAAATTCGTTTCATTTTATTTCATTAGCTTAAAACTATAAGTCCACAACACATGTATCATTTGTCCATTCACTTAGGTAAAACAATAAATTAAAATAAGACATTTATTTATTTGATTAAGATGCTTTAATTTTTTCACTGAAAAGAGGATATTTTGACCAAAGATATTTAACCATAAATTAGTTTAAATAATTAACTATTAATAACCAAAAACGAATAGTAAAAGTAAAACTTAATTATTAGAGAACACTAAATACATATGCCTTTCCAAAAACAAAGGAAACTTCCATCTTTATTTCACTCGCATTCACTTCCTTTTGTCATACATAACATTGTATGGTTTCTTCAAAGACATAGAAACCAAGTGACAAAGTCAAATTAAAAGCAAAACAAAAGAGAAACCAAGAGGATGGTTTCAACATTATTCATGATCTTGTAGCATCCACTTCATAACAAGCATTAATTTGTGCCTGTAAAACAAGATTCATGAGTAATCATGTTCAACAAGATTAAAATTAAGAAAGAAAGAAGAAAAAAAACTTGGTAGACAATGTAAAAGAAAAAAAGTTCAACTAATTATCTAATCATAAACTCCACCATCTTTCATTTTAGTCTTTATATCTATACATTTACACTACTAAAACATAAAGTTTGTTCGTGTAAAATCTAAAACCTAAATTTTTTAAGTATAGAAACTAAAAGTCTATTTAAATGCAAATTTAGAAGAATTTCAATAAACTCTCAAAAATTCAACTATTCTTATTTAAATAGATTCTAAAACAAAAGTTGAGACGCAAACATATAAGAAACAAATGAGTAATTAAACCGAGGATCAATGAAGCGAGAAACTTACCACAAGCAAGTGGTGGTAGTTGACACTGAGAAGGGAGTTGAGAAGCGACCCTAATGGTGTTGCATAGGCAATCACGGTCCACGGAATGAAGTGCATTGCAGCATGCAGCATTAGGGTTTGTGTTGGCTGCACCAGGCACCACAAAGGGTGCACAAACATTCAGGTTAGCTAGCTCGTTTGAGCAGGCACCGCTCTGTGCCCTAGCCATGTGGGTCCCATGTGCCACAACCAAGACCAGCAACACTGCAGAAACTAAGAGAGACTTTCCTGATGAAGCCATTTATGACTTTAGTTAATTCAAACAACTTGTCGTTATAATTTGTTTACTATACTCTTGCTGTGTATGGTTTGGATGTGTAGTGTCCCTATTTATATGATGAAGTTTGGTAGTGATCAATGCATGGCTCGTTCATTTCGTGAGTCACCTACTATGAGTTTTTAGGTCACAACTTTGGTGTTGGATGCAAACTGTTACATGAGGATGATCATGTGAGTTCAATCGTTTTTCCTCTCTTCCTTGGCATAATGCTTATCTTCACTTTCTTTGAAGTCTGATATTATGAGGTGATATGAGTGCACACATTTGCTCTTATACTTTGGGTATGAGTGTATAAAACATAGGTTTGAATAAAGTTTATGCAAAGTTATGCTCGAATGATTTTTTTTAAAATAAATATATATAGAAAAAAAGAAGATATAAAAGAATTTAATTTCTTCTAAGTTATGATTAATTTATGTTTAAGCCAAAATCAATTTTTGAAAAAGTTAAATGATAACTATTATAAATTAATTTATATATCAATTAATTTAACTTAAGGGAGAAACTTAATTATTTTATCTTTTTTGTATTTTACTAAATATGTATTAAAAATTATTCAAACATAATTTGTGACCAAGCAATATATTTTTCTTCCTTAAAATTTTCACAATAATTTTTATAATAATCAAATAGAAAGAGAAGAGATCGAGAAATATAAAATAGCATAAGTTATATGAAATTAAAGGAGAGAGATGGAGTGTATTTTAAAAATATTACAAAAAAAATCATATATTAATAATTTGGTATTAGATTCCCATTTTTTTTGTCATAACTTCTTTCTATCTAATAATATCTTTGATTTTTATATTTTAGAAACAAATAAGAGTGTTACTTTTAATTATAAAATTATAATCTGTATTCTTAACCGTACTAATTATTTTTAAATATATTAATTAATATTTTTGTATTTTTAATTTATTATGAGTCTGAGTTATTTACTACTTTTCATGAAAATAAATATATTTATTACATTACTAACACTATAGTCATACTAATTAATTGAAAATTAAATATAATATTATTTAATTTAAAAATATTTTTAAAATAATATTTCAAATTATGACGTTATTTTTGTTACTTAAAATTAATTAATTTAATTACTTATGTGAATTAAATATTTATTTTTGGTAGTAATAATTAAACTATCTATTATTATTTGAACCATTAAAATCAACTTATTAATGAAAAATTCAAACAATGTGTTCATTGTAATTCCGACAAACAGAAAAATTTGCCGACATATAACATTTTATCCTTGGACTATCTTGTAATTAGGGATGATAAATAAACTCGTACATGTGGGTAATACCTGAACCTGTCCCGACTTTGACGGGGAATATCCGGTTTGACTGGGTACGGGTACGGTAAAACCTGATAAATTAAACCGGATACGGGTACGGTATGGGTATATACATACCCGCCCCGTACCCGTACTCGTACCTGATTTAATTATATTAAAAAATTTTAATATTTTATTATGTGTAATTATTTATTATAATGTAAAATATTTATAGTTGTATAATTATTAAGAAATTTCTTGATTAAAATATGAGATAAAAAAATAATCTAATTATAATTATAATATAATAAAAAAAAATTTAAAAATATTATATATTTAAAAAAAATTTTTACGGATACGAGTACGGGTACAGGTATACCCGATACCCTACGAGAACGGGAATGAGGATGAAAATCACATACCCGGTAAGTACAGGTACAGATATGACGAGGACGAAGACGACTATCATAAAACCTGTACTCGACCCGCCCCGTTGCCATCCTACTTGTAATATTAAAAATAATCCTAGTTAAACTTTTCATTGTCATTAAAGGCAACCAGTCCAAACCATTTATTATGATATGCATATATTTAAAGGTTCAAAATATGCTTTTGTAGGATACTGGATTTTTAGCCTTGAATGCATTACAGTAGGCAAATGGAAATATGATTGATTTACCTCTTTTGAGATCATATGTCCCCACAATTCGGATTGAGTGACATAATTAAAGACATGCAATTTATAGGTCCTTAGAATCAGAAAATATTACAGACTTTACCCCAAGAAAACTTGCTTATTGGTTTGGATAATGAAATCAATAGCTCCTTAGAATCAGAAAATATTACAGACTTTCCTGCACAATTGAGAAGAACATGGTTGGAAGATAACCAGTCCATACCTAAAATCACATCTAATTGTGATAAAGGTAAGCAGATCAAACTTACAAGAAATTTTTTATCACCAATAAAAATAGGACAGTCTGAACAAACTCTATTGGCAATTACAGATTTGTTTGTAGGGGTTGAAACAATTAGATTATTCTTTAAAGAAGAAATTGGTAATTGGAGGTGTTGAACACAATCATTAGAGATAAAAGAATGAGTTGCGCCTGAATCATACAGTACATTTAAAGTTTTGCCTTTAATGAAACATGTACCTTGTATTAGATTGTTGTTTTGAGCAGCTTCAGTTCCAGTTATGGTATAAACTCTCCCAGTTGTAGGAAGTCTCGGTTTGGTTCCAGAGGTATTCGTGTGCGCCTTTGATTGTCCACACTCCGAAAACACATGACCCGGCTTTCCATACTTGAAACAAACAGGTCCTTTGAGATGACAGTCTTTAGTATAATGACCCTGTCCACACTTAAGACACTTAGCTTGATTATTCATGGGTCTACTGGAATTTCCTGTAAATTGAGAAGATTGGGTTTTCCATTGAGGTCGATCATAAGGTTTTCCTTCATTATTCCTTTTTTTATTAAACTGAGGGCCAAAGGATTTTGGTCTATTGTCCTTATTATGATCAAAACCTTCCAGAAATCGACACTTGTATATTAATGTGGGAAAATCAGAGATTTCTAATATCCCTACTTCCTTTCTTAATTCTGGTCTAAGTCCATCCTCAAATTTAATACACTTCATTCTCTCATCAGGGTGATAAAAGAAAGTAGAGTATTTTCCCAATTTCTCAAACTTAGAAGCATATTCTCCCACTGTCATGTTCCCTTGTTTTAATTGCATAAATTCTATTTCCTTAGCCCTCCTAACATCATTAGGAAAATATTTTTCAAAAAATTTAGCTCTGAATACTTCCCATGTAATAATTATTCCTCCTCCTTCTAATAGTCTCCTAGTACTATCCCACCAATATTCTGCTTCTCCTACTAACATAAATACTGCATAATTTACTTTTTGGTTATCAAGACAGTTCATGGCTCGAAATATCTTTTCTATTTCTTTAATCCATAATTCAGCCTTTTCAGGATTATACCCTCTGTCAAATTGGGAAGGTTTATTACTTCTAAATTCTACCAGTCCTTGTGACTCCCCCATTCCTTCCGATCGTTGATTCCTTAATAAGGCGGCAGCCATGTCTCTAATAGCCTGCACAGCCTCAGTCAGTTCTGTATTTCTCCTTTCGACCATCTGAAATTTATAGATTAGTTTATTATACTAGAAACATGGTTAGCACATTTCCCCAAGTTACACATGGAACGTTGCTCTAATACCATTAAAATGTAACGTCTAGTCGTGTTAATAATAACTTTAATATAATTATAATATACTTTATATAATTAATATCATTATACATAAACCAAAATTTTATTTTTCATACCCTGGCTTACATATAGTTTTTTTTATTTTTTTATATATGCATCATATTTTGTACAAAAGAAAAAGGAAAAAAAATAATGGACATTCTTATAATCTACTTAATTCCTAACTAATTATATAATGTCTACATATCAGGTTGATATAAGTTCACTATTGGGTTAACATGATTGGTTGGAGGAAGATAAAAGGTGACTACAATTTGTCCATCTATGATAACGGGGTTTTGTTGGGTTGGTGAAAACATAAAAGATGATAATCCTATTCCTTGGAAGGTAACTGCATTGGCAGATGCGTCCATGGCCCAACTGGTACACGGAAAAACTGCTGTGATAACGGAAGAGAAAGGACCCGGTAGAATTGGTAGATCCATCTATTTATTTAATTATTATATTACATAAAAAACATAAGGAGTGAGAACATTTTTCAAAGAAATATTTATAATCATAAAGCGCGTAGCAATAGTTAATATTAAACAATATATATAAAATTTGAATTACATTTGCAGTGACTAGTCATGATAAATGAGCATTATAATATCAACCAGTGCAAGAATTTTTAATCATAACTTCTTACTCATTTAAATTCCCAAGGTCAAACCTCCAGCTACAAATAATTCAAATTTTATCTTCTATGGCCATAGAGTAATATTTTTCTTTAAAATGAGTCAAAGACATTTTAACAAAATTATATTATAATTAATCATAAAAACAATCACGCTAAATAAATTTGAGAATTTATCATCATTTAAGCTTTAATTAAATAACATATACTTAAATAAAATATATTAAGAGTACCAGTTAATTAAATGACAATGATAATTATTATAAAATAATTAAACAATATAAAATATGAACATATTAATAATTATTATGGATAAAAATAATCATAGAATAAGAAAATAAGTGAGGTTAGGGGCACCTCACTAGATAAAAATAACATAAATAAATAAACATAGGAGTATATAAAATTAAAGAGTTCCCCCTTACATTCTTATCCCCGTAATTGTGATTCTTATCTCGACACATTCACATTCCCTTTTTCCTAATTGCTTATATATATATATATATATATATATATTCGCTGCACCTGCACATTACTTTTTTTTTTAATTATTTATATAAAAATATATAAGGCCATGGTAGGATTTGAACCCAGGACCCAGCGCATGTTGTCCTTAAGCACAACTACTGAAATCACTGAACTATTTTATTTTATATGTCTATAATATCATGCAAATTTATAATAAGTTATTTTTAGTAGGTAATATTTATAATATAATTAGTTAGCGCATACACACACACACACACACACACATATATATATATATGTATGTATATATATATATATATATATTTTACTGAACATAAAATTTAATAAAATAAAATATATATATATATATTATCATAACTAAAATTTCAGTACACTTAATAATAATGTTGAGAATATTGTTATCTAAAAACATTAGGATATTACATCTATTAATAGATAGCGCTTCTAAAACAATGCTATCTATGTATATGCAAATAGAAAGCACTTCCTTTTAAGTGCGCTATCTATGTTTAAGTACTTAGATGACGCTTTTAAAAAGAAGTGCTCTCTATCTTTGAATGTATAGACAACACTTTATGTTAAAGCGTTGTCTTTGGTTTATCTTATAGAAAGTGTCTGTAGCAAAAACGTTTTCTATATTCTAGCCAATAGAAAGCGCTTCCTTATATAAATGCTATCTATATGTTTAATTTTTTTTTAATAATTTTTTTACATCATTGACACTTGTTGATTTTGCTATGCATGCAAAAATAAATCCCAAGACATAGAACTATAACAATCAATCAACAATGTAGCCAAATTTGATTCAAAAATATAATGTATAATGTATACATTAAAATTAAAAGATTAGTTTATATAAACCAAACATGTATTACATTTAGTTTGTTGCAATAATAGTTACATATATTTAAACACAATCAATGCTTGTTTATTACCATGCAACTCCTAGTCTTAGACTCAAATAAAAAAAAGGAAATGTATATAGACCTAACATATTACATTTAGTTATTTGATGACATTAACTTGAAAGTAACATATAATCAATGCTTGTCCAATATCATGTAGTTCTCGCTCTTAGAATATTCCACAGCCCATTAGTTCTGCAAAGAAAAGAAAAATTATAAGTCACCAACTAGATACAATATAAAAGAAAATGTATAAAGATTAAAAAAATAGCATAAAAGAAAAGTGGCATGGCCTAAAAATGCTATAGCAGAACATACTAACCTACAAGCATTTTTTAATGACATATAAACACCAATCTTCTCTAACTTCTGTGATTTGATCATTAGAAAATCGTTGCACGCTGCATCTAGGGAAGTACTGAAAAAAAATAAAATAAAATAAAATAAACCAACTGAGGTTATACATAAAAGGAATTATAAGAAACTAATATATTTTATACATCTTTTGGAATTGTCCCCCCTTCACAATAGGTGATAATTTCCTTCATATACCGACAAATGTAATATCCACAATCGTTGCCATTTGATTGCTTCGGACACTATAACCAAAAGGCAAAAATATCAATATAATTAAAATAACATATTTTTTCATAAATAAAATAATACAAAGATAGCATTTTTTAATAAGCGCTCTCTATATAAAACCTTATTATGACGCTTATTTAATTAAACGTTCTTTTAATGTTTTATGTTTTAAAACACAACACTTATTAATTAAGCGCTATCTAAATAGTGCTATCTATTGCCACTTTTGGTGTAGTGAATTTTCATAATAATTTTTATAATAATCAAAGAGAAAGAGAAGAGATAGAGAAATATAAAATAGCATAAGTTATATGAAATTAAAGGAGAGAGATGGAGTGTATTTTAAAAATTACAAAAAAAAATTATATATTAATAATTTGGTATTAGATTCCCATTTTTTTTTTGTCATAACTTCTTTCTATCTAATAATATCTTTGATTTTTATATTTTAGAAACAAATAAGAGTGTTACTTTTAATTATAAAATTATAATCTGTATTCTTAACCGTACTAATTATTTTTAAATATATTAATTAATATTTTTGTATTTTTAATTTATTATGAGTCTGAGTTATTTACTACTTTTCATGAAAATAAATATATTTATTACATTACTAACACTATAGTCATACTAATTAATTGAAAATTAAATATAACTATCATTTATATTATTTAATTTAAAAATATTTTTAAAATAGCATTTCAAATTATGATGTCATTTTTATTACTTAAAATTAATTAATTTAATTACTTATGTGAATTAAATATTTATTTTTGGTAGTAATAATTAAACTATCTATTATTATTTGAACCATTAAAATCAACTTATTAATGAAAAATTAATTGAAATAATGTGTTCATTGTAATTCCGACAAACAAAAAACTATAAACTGTTTGCCGACATATAACATTTTATCCTAGGACTGTCTTGTAATATTAAAAATAATCCTAGTTAAACTTTTCATTGTCATTAAAGGCAACCAGTCCAAACCATTTATTATGATATGCATATATTTAAAGGTTCAAAATATGCTTTTGTATGATACTGGATTTTTAGCCTTGAATGCATTACAGTAGGCAAATGGAAATATGATTGATTTACCTCTTTTGAGATCATATGTCCCCACAATTTGGATTGAGTGACATAATTGAAGACATGCAAAATGAGTTAGAACTAATTATATTTAGTATTTGTTATATGTAAATTATAATTTTAACAGTAGTTAGATACTCCCTCATTTTTTTTTTAATTTCTTGGCTGATTTTAGAATTTGTTTTCATTTATTTGTTTTTTTTAATTTAAGATAATACTAATACTTATCAATTATACTCTTATTTTTTTTACCCAACTTAATTTTTTTATGGACATAGTATACATAATGTCTCAAAACTGATAACTATAGTCAAGAAACGTGACTTTCACTGGACACCTAACTTTTATTTAATTCACACATTTAACTTATGTATTTATTATAAAATAAAAATGAAAAAATATATAATAAAAAACTTCAAAAGACAAAAAAATTATTGCATTTCTCAATTCATATATAAAAACCTTAAACTTATGTTTAAAAGAACTGAGATAGTATGACAATGCCAATGAAAAGCACTTCGATAACCCATAATTTTTTAGCAGTTAAAACTGAATTTGCAATCAACAAAATTTGCTTGTACTAGCCCCAAAAGAAAAAATAATGAAAGTAAAAATACAAAAGAATAACAATTAACAAACTAAAAAAAAAAAAAAAAAAAAAAAAAAAAAAAAAAAAAAAAAAAAAAAAAAAACTACCTTCTTATCAATAAAATCAGCCCAGAACCTAGCTTGAGCTCTATCATAAGGATCAAAGGGCAACAATGGAGCTTTATCCTTCCA